GAGGACCCGCGTGGGGTATGCCCTCAGCCCCCGGCAGCTCATGGTGATGCTCCGACCTTGGCCTTGCCGAATCTCCAGGAAGGTGGGCTCCACGGCGGGGGGGTCTGCAGGGGACAGGAAGGGAGAGCAGGAGCTTCGTAAGCGAATTAGCGTGAGAGACGACGTTAACGAGCCACTGCTGAAAGGCTAGAGTCCCGCAGCACGACCGGGCACCCACGAGAGCGGAACTCAATAACCGTAAGCGTAGAAGCTCGATAGATACCGATCAGCGAGTAACAGCAGCGTACACATCCCAAGCACTGGCTTCTGCTGATCGACACTTTCTGCTGAGTCCTTAAAGCCACTGCGCTGCCCCACTGACGTTACCACTCGCCATGCAGCGAGAGGTCCCGCGCAGCCCAAGAGGCTCAGCCCTCCCAAGCCCCACCGAGGAGCCCCGGGCTCTGAGGCATGGGACTTTCTGGAAGCGGAAGGGGAGAAAAAGAGAGGAAAGCCTCCACTCAGTTTATCTATGGTGCACAAGGCAAGGATGACCCCGGCACGGAGCTGAGGCAGGGATTCTGTGTTCAGGGCAGGATCTAACCTTGCAGAACAGCAGATGGATCAAGGAAGCAGCACAGACACAAACACACAGACCAGCCCAGCAGCTGCCTTCAGGTTTCAAGAAACATATAATCACATATTAATACGTTCCACCCACTCAGGCAGTAATTTTGACATTTCAGTAAGCACCGAATGGGTCATCTTACCGTAACTTGAATTGAACCGCACTTTAAATAATTTAGATTTGCAGTTACAAAGTCTGACAGACTTGATTCCAGCAAAATACAAAATAAATAAAATATAGGCAACATACAGTGTATGCAAAAACCTAACTTCACCGTCCCATTTGCCTTTCGATAGCTTAACCATTGCAGAAGAGTACAGGCAACCTGGACAGAATGCTGTTGGCATGAAGCTCTTGTTAGCACAGCTATTTAGATCAGGTAATGCGCGTGCAAAACATGCACACGTCTGCAACTGGATGCAGAACAGTGAGTGACAAGACTTTCTGGCTCTTTAAAACACACAGCTCATTTTTCAGCCTACGAGAAAGAAATCCTGAAAACCTCCTGTGCCAGTAAGTTATATGAAATACTTGCATCCATATAGAAAGGGCTGTCTTGCAGGCATAGAACACAAAAATATAAAATCCCTGACAAGCTCTGTCGCCTTTCAGAAGGAGCCCTCCATTACCAATATGTCTCCAAGAACATCATGTCCTCAGGTTCTTCATTAATTGGTATCTCCATCATAGACATCAATAACCTTCCGACTCTTGATATTTAATTACCTCCATAATGGAAGCTGTAAACAGATTCCCTCATCTCCTGAAAATTAGGGACCATAGGTACATGTGTACTGCTGCTCACTGTTTCTTGCTCAGGGAAGAATCCAGCCAAACCCAGAGTACTTGAAATCAAGGTACGTTTTGGAGAATGTCATACTAAGGCAACACCGCTTAGAGCTCAGGACATCCAGCTACCTTATTTGTAGCTCGTTGCAATAATCACCATTTACCTTGTATCCTGATCCAAGCTCAGAATTACTGGGAGAGGACTACCACGATCTGGCAGCAAGGTGAGCAGAGAGGCAGAAGCGGCGAGCAGTGTCAGAGGCAGGACACCGAGCTCAGTGGTACAGGGTGAGGAGATGGCAGGTATTAGCTCTGAGGACAATTCCTCCTGACTGAGGGTCCAAACAAATGACTGAGGAAGGAGAGAATGATGTGGAAACTACCGATTCAAAACCCCATCGATCCCAGCCTGACCCTTCCTCTTCGTAGATTAAATATCATATGGCTTCATATAATTTTCAAGGGAGATCCTTAACTGGTGCATAGATTGCAGTACAGCCACAGACAACCAAGTGTACCCTCAGCAAGTTTGCTGGTGACACCAAACTGGGAGGAGTGGTGGATACACCGGCAGGCTGTGCTGCCATCCAGCGAGACCTGGACAGGCTGGAGAGTTGGGCAGAGAGGAACCTGATGAGGTTCAACAAGGGCAAGTGCAGGGTCCTGCACCTGGGGAGGAACAACCCCAGGCACCAGAACAGGCTGGGGCGGACCCGCTGGAAAGCAGCTCGGTGGAGAGGGACCTGGGTGTCCTGGTGACCGACCAGCGGAGGGCTACGAGGATGAGGAGGGGACTGGAGCATCTCTCCTACGAGGAGAGGCTGAGGGAGCTGGGCTTGTTTAGCCTGGAGAAGAGAAGGCTGAGAGGGGCCCTTAGAAATGCCTCTAAATATCTGCAGGGTGGGGGTCAGGAGGACGGGGCCGGACTCTTTCCAGTGGTGCCCAGCGACAGGACAAGGGGCAATGGGCACAAACTGAGGCATGGGAAGTTCCAGCTGAAGATGAGGAAGAACTTCTTCCCTCTGAGGGTGACGGAGCCCTGGCCCAGGCTGCCCAGGGAGGCTGTGGAGTCTCCTTCTCTGGAGATATTCCAGCCCCGCCTGGACGCGGTGCTGTGCAGCCTGCTCTGGGTGACCCTGCTTGGGCAGGGGGTTGGACTGGGTGACCCACAGAGGTCCCTGCCAACCCCTGCCATGTTGGGTCTCTGTGATTCTGTAACCGCAAGTAAAAGACCAGAAATCTTAAATCCTTAATACCGCAAGCCTTTTTTCCATTGATAATATCCCCCAATTTTGTGTCATCAGAAAATTTCATCAGAGTTTGACTATTCTTTGTGCCCGGGAACAGAATAAAAAATATGAAAGAAGATAAATTCGTATTTCCACCAGTTTCTCCCTCCAGCCTGGTGTTTGCCCTTTCAGCACAACCCAACATCGTCTTCACCTGCCCCCACTGTACCATTTCTCCACCTTCTTCTGCTTCACTGACAGTTTCCCAAGGCAGTAGCTTTGCAGGGAATTGTTGGCTTAAAGATAAGAGCTATTCTTGGGAAAGAAAACGCGCCAGATCTCAGCTTTCCCCTAAGGGAGAGCTGTTTAGCTAGTCAAGCCAGATCTGCCTTTCCCAGGCTCTCTAACCACCCTGTCTTACAGCTGCTCCTTCCTTCTGAACATCTTCTGTATCATGACATATCACAAATATCAGAGAAATTACTAATCAAATTTACTAGTATTTACTATCATCCAGTTTTTTCTCTGCCCTGAGAACAAAACTCTCCATGTTTTCTTTCCATTTTAGCCATGATAATACCACTGTCCACATCCATTACTCTTCAGCCCTGTCATCTTCACCCCCACAGCCAGCACCACAATACACTATTAAAACCAGGCAAAATTTTCACCAACTTCGAGCCAGACACGGCTTAGCCTATAAAATAATGCAGCCTAAGGAGAGTCACCCAGCATCTGACTGAGGACCCACCTGGCCCACCAGTCCTGAGTGCCTGGGGAGAGACCAGAGAGCACCCTGAACTTTGGGGCAGGAACCTTCCGACAGCTCTGCGTGTGACGTCTCAAATAGCCTTTAATGGCTGATTTTGCTCTCATCTTCTCCCATTGCTTATAAGCCCATTTAATGTTTGAACATTCAAAACGTCTATAATTTGCCATAACATCCTCTTCTCTTGTTTGTTTTGCTGTTTCCATCTGATACTCTATATTCGGTGACAACATTTCTCTGCTCACCTCTCCATGGCAGCTCTGCTTTAATGACTTTTAGCATCTCAGTATTCAGTCTCCTCTTTCTTTTTCCCCTGGTTTATTCACTTATAAGATACTTTCGCATTATAAATAGCTTTTATATAAAAATTTACCTTGTCTTTAAGGTCATAGTAGTCTTTAAAATACTGAATTTCCATCTATGCATGAACAGATAATACCCAGTGACAGCAAAAGAAAATTAACGTTGGTGGCTCATTTCAGAGTTACACTTTTACAGGTAGTAACTTTAATGGAAAAGGAAAGGGGCGATAACAGCTACAATATATGACAGTAGCCAGAGCTAATAGTTTGTTTTTCTGTTTTTTGTTTTAATAAGATAGTGACTGCACAGCTAGCAAAGGTGCCAGCATCTCAGGCATCTTCTGAGGGTAATGATGCTCAGAAGGAAACCTGCTCCGCAGCTGTTTGGAACTTCCATGTGTTTAATTCATTTGCATTAACTCTTCCCCAAGGCTTGGGCAATTTGATTTAATTTACTTTGCTGTACTTATTCCTATCTTTCATAATTCTAGTATTAGTTTTTGAAAAATATATGAAAAAGCCGCAAAGGGACTACAGTTCATTCTCTTAAACAATTATCCTTGGGAAGCAAACAGTCTGAAGTTAAAACAGGTTTCATATTAATGTTTAATGAATTTTTTAGCCTAAGTACATTCATGTCTTAAGGATTATAAAACGGAAACTGCAGGCTCCCTAGCTATCCAGAGCAATGACAGCAAGGATGCTTGTCTGGTTCCACCCAGACCTCTGCTCTTCACGGTGCGGATCACACCACTGCCGTTATTGTAAGATTCGTTAGGAAGAAAACAGACCAGCCAGAGAATTCACTTCGACCATGTCGCCTTAAGCAGAGATTTTACCTGCCGATTTGGTTTCTCCAATTTGCATTTCAGCCCAAGCAAATTAATTTGTTTCTCTCGCCCAGCTCTAGCAGAAGGAATAAATCAGAAAAACTGATGCCTCTGCTTCAGCTTCTATTGTATTCGTGGCCACTTTCCATTTGGTTTACCCAACAGGAATGTTATTCTAGCAACAATCTACTGCTTCGAAGCCCCTCTATCGCTACCTCAGCCACAGAGGAGTAACCTTTAAACTCTCTTGAGGTAGGATCTGGACCACAGAAAACCCGATCAGTAAATGATAAATCAGGTCAGGTAACACCATTTTATCAGGAGGCCGAGGGTCTGGGTGGGCAGGGGAGCACACCACAGCCTGGCAGAGCAGCCCGTGAGGGACCGGGCACTGCGGGAGGTGGGACTCGCCTCTCCCAGCTGCGGAACCGCGCTAAACCACCGCGCAGTTACCAAGCCGGCGAAGCCGAGACGACTTCAGCAAGCGCTGTTTCCAATATCTGATTGAAACATACTGTAAATTATTTTATGGCCTGAGGGATGTGCAGTGGAAAGTCAGAGTCATTCTAGCTTAAAAA